CCCGCTAAATTATAAAAATATTAGAATATGATCCGCGTTAATACGCGGGTTAATACAATAGAAATAAATGAAATAAAACCAATAGATTCTAACACCAGTAGAAGTCACTTTATATCATAATTCTCATGTTTTAATTCATATCATGCAAAATCAAAAATATATATAATCACAATTTAAATCATATTCTTAATAACACAAAAATATATATATATTTTAACCCATTATGAATACTTACGAATTTTCTGATAGAAATAAAAATAATTAAAATACTATATAGTTAAATCAGAAAAAGTAAAAAATATCCATTTTTCTGATATTCTATAACTCTATTTTGATAAGATAAGTATTTTTTTATAGATTCTTTTTATTAATTAATTTTTGCATGGTTGTGTATATGTTTAAACTTTTACATTGAGGTTTATGTAACCTTTATAAATTTTTTATTTCTAATTTATATACCTTTTTTATCATTCATTTTTTAGTTATATACAATCATTTTTTTCTTTATGTATTATTATTTTTATGGCTTATGAAATGTTTATATTTCATCTTAATTTTTGTTTTTTAATTAGTATGGATAGTATTAGAAATTTTACTTTTTATTATTTGATTAGTAACTTGACAACTACTTTCCATTTTAAATCTTATTTTTTTAATTAATTTTAAGTTTTAACATATTAATCATGTGATCAATCTTATTATCAGATACATATCGTGATCTCGTGAGTTATAATTTTGTTTACGTGTCATGCTTAAATAAAAATGCATTGCGGTAAATACTTTTGATTTTAAATTTTATAACGCCTATAATTTGAAAATTGTAATTAGATTCTAAATTATAACTCGCACAAATATGTAATATTTATTTTATTATTATATCATTTTAGATTTTATTAAAGCGTCAATTTATTATATTTATCTCATATTAAAATTATCTCATATACGTTATTATATTAGCAAAATGAAACTTATAATACGCCATCTCCTTTTGGGTTTAACTATTTCAATAATTTGAATTTGAAAAAATGTATTTTGTAATATAACAATTTAGAAATATAACCTATTTTACTATGATGGTTTTTTCTTTTTGTTAATTATTCCATAATCCTTGTTTAAGATATATTCTTTATTCTAATTTTTAAAATTTTGTTATTATT